CCTGCTGATAACATTTCACCATACTTGAATATTGAGCCTTGTTTAGCATCGGATTGGCTGGAGATCGCATGGGATGAACTACATATCAAGGAGCGTGTTGGTGCTGGTATATATCCCACCTTTTCCTTTGATTTGTGTCTATGCACTTCTGGATTTGTTATTATTGAGAGCAGAAGTAACAAATTTTCTTTTGGAAATCTTTTCTGCTTTTTCAGGATCATTTGGAACTGTTCATCGTGCTGAATGGCATGGCTCGGTAGGTTCATTTGTTTTCTCTTTGCAATCTCTAGCACTTTATCACTTCCAACTTCTTTTTGTTCAGAAGAGCTAAATGTATTTTGTGAATTTGATGAAGGATGTTGCTGTCAAGGTTTTGTCTGTCCAAGATTTCCAAGATGACCAATTCAGGGAGTTTCTCAGAGAGGTATGAAAAGGATAAGGTTCTTATAAATAGCACTTTACTTCTGTCAAAAACAATCCTTTGATACCGATCGGATTTTCATTCCTGAAGGTTGCAATAATGAAACGTGTTCGTCATCCAAATGTTGTTCTCTTCATGGGAGCTGTAACAGAGCGACCCCGCCTTTCAATCGTTACAGAATATTTGCCAAGGTAATACCATCCCATCCGTCATGGTTAAGTCATGTAATACTTGATCTTGAATGGTTAGTTTCTTATCTTCATTCATATTGTTTCTCGAGCAGGGGCAGTTTGTTCCGTCTCATTCACAGGCCGGCTTCTGGGGAATTGCTTGATCAAAGGAGGAGACTACGAATGGCGTTGGATGTGGTTTGTGACTTGTCATCTAATGTTGAACGTAGCATATTCGTTAGAGAAAACGATGAAATTAACTGTATTATTTTGTTGGAGCAGGCCAAGGGGATAAACTACCTTCATTGTCTTAACCCGCCAGTGGTCCATTGGGACCTGAAATCTCCAAATTTGTTGGTCGATAGGAACTGGACAGTGAAGGTAAGATGCAAAACCGATAGAAAATGTTCTTGATTATCAAAACCCATCATCTGTTTCTCTCACATATTAACCTCTACCATGCCACTGTTGTCAGGTTTGCGATTTTGGACTGTCCAGATTCAAGGCAAACACTTTTATACCATCTAAATCCGTTGCAGGAACGGTTAGTTCTCACCTCTTATTCTTAGGATGTAATTGTAGACAGGAGTTTAAGACATGAATAGATTATGCTGACTGCATGGATTCGTATGTCCACTTACTGGTATCAACATATATATATACACGATTTAGCATTCATGTCCATGTAAACATACATATGTTTAGGTTGCCATGCGTCTCTTTTGAAGAAAGTTAGATATCACTGTCAATATCGTGCAGGTCGAAAACGTACTTTGGCCATGCAAACCAATACTGAGTAAACCTCACTTACTTTTTTGTTTTCAGCCTGAATGGATGGCTCCAGAATTTCTTCGTGGTGAGCCCTCGAATGAAAAATCCGATGTTTACAGTTTCGGAGTGATCCTCTGGGAATTGGTCACTTTGCAACAACCCTGGAGTGGACTCAGCCCTGCCCAGGTAATGGACCGATTTCATCGATTCTCTTTCAGTTCCTTTCTTCGGCTTTCGAGTTCAATTTTCTTAACCCACCAACCAATTTTGACGGTCAGGTGGTTGGAGCGGTTGCCTTTCAGAACAGAAGGCTTGCCATTCCACAAAACACATCCCCGGTTTTGGCTTCTCTGATGGAAGCTTGTTGGGCCGAGTAAGTAATACCGCCAAAACTTCTCTCCATTTCTTGCCGGATTTTCAACGATTTATAGAGCATGAAAAAGGTGGTATAAACATCGTGTATGTACATATATCCACAGTGAACCTGCACAAAGGCCGTCTTTCGCGAGCATAGTGGAGACTCTGAAGAAGCTGTTGAAGTCTCCGGTTCAGCTCATCCAAATGGGTGCATGATGATGATGATGAAGAGGGCCTTGAAAGGAAAAAAAAAAGACGCAACGTAGACGTTTGGTGAATTACGTTATCCTCTCTTTTAGTGTGATATTATGATATACTAACAGAGAGAACTCCCTGGAAAACATCAACTGGGAGAAGGAAAGATTAAGCCCCCATCCCATGGGTTTTTTTTTTGGTGTATACGTTTCATATATACATATATATATACACATGTAATATGCAAGTGCAAGAGTGACAGAGTGTTGTGTTGCTCTTGTTTGAAGCTTATTGTTATGGATAATTATTACAATGTATGATGAAAATGAGAGACTGATTCAAGAGAAATGGTTTCTGAATTATTTTTTGAGAAAATTTGCATGCACAAAAAAAAAAGTCTTTGTATTCTATACTTATACTGTTGTAATCTTTGTATTCTATACTTTTTTATGTTAAAATGATCATCATATCCTTCAATATTATTATAACCTGCAGATTTTTTACATTTATAAAAAAACACTTGTATAAATTTCGTTTTCTTCTATTGAAAAAACATTTATATGGATTTTGTTTTCTGATATAAATATAGAAAAACACTTGTATGAGTTTCGTAAAAAAACACTTGTAGGTTAGCAGGTGCGACAGATGCCGTAGTTGACCTACCGCAAGCCGTAGGTGCCGAAGATGACCTGCCACAGGCCGCAGGTCATCTGGCAGATCATAGGTCATCTGCTGTAGGTTGTAGGTCATTTATCACAGAGCGTAGGTCATTTTTCACAGACGGCAGACCATCTTCTACAGTTTTCTTTTACAGACATTTCATCAAACATCTTATGTGCATACAAAAAAATGATCAGAACATCACAGAAAAAGAAATCAACCAGAAGAGTATTTGAATAGATTAGACAAACTATAAGAAATATAGGAGATAGAGAAAATGTTGGAGAAAAAATAAGATCAAATAGCAAAATGTTCTGATGTCTAAAAGATAAATTGTCACAAAAAATACTTGCATGAATTTCGTTTTCCTCCACATACATGAAAAAATACTTATATGGATTTTGTTTTCTTATATAAGTTTAGAAAAATACTTGCATGAGTTTCGTAAAAAAACACTTGCACGTTAGCAAGTGTGATAGGTGTCGTAGGTGATCTAGCGCAAGCCGTAGGTGCCGAAGATGACCTGCCGCGGACCGCAGGTCATCTGGCAGACCGTAGTCGTAGGCTGTAGGTCATTTACCGCAGAGTGTATGTCATTTTTCACAGACGACAAGTCATCTTCTACAGTTTTCTTTTACAGACATTTCATCAAACACCTTATGTGTATACAAAAAAATGATCAGAATATCACAAAAAAAGAAATCAACTAGAAGAGTATTTGAATAGATTAGACAAACTGTAAGAAATAGAGGAGATAGAGAAAATGTTGGAGAAAAATAAGATCAAATAGCAAAACATTACGATTTCTAAAAGATAGTTGTAGTGAAATCACAGTCGTAATTATCTGTTCGTAGTCGTAGTTATATGGTCGTAGTGAAATCACATTCGTAATTATCTGGTCGTAGTCGTAGTTATATGGTTGTAGTGAAATCACGGTCACAATTATCTGGTCGTAGTCGTAGTTATCTAGTCGTAGTCAAATCAGGGTCGCAATTATCTGGTCGTAGTCGTAGTTATATGGTCGTAGTGAAATCACGATCGCAATTCGCAGATCGCAGGTCCGCAGGACGCAGGTGCGACAGGTCGCAGGTCAGCAGGTCCGTAGGTGCGACATGCTGCAGGTCAACAGGTACAGTTGACCTACCAGGTGCCGCAAGTAACCTGTTGTAGGCCAAGTGACCTGCCGCAGACCGTAGGTCATTTGCGGGGTCATCTGCCAGATCATAGGTCATTTAACGCATAGCGCATGTCATTTTTCACAGATTGCATGTCATCTGCCGCAAACATTTCATCAAACACCTTATGTGCATGCAAAAAAATGATCAGAATATCACAGAAAAAATCAACGAGAAAAGTATTTGAATAGATTAGATAAACTATATAAGAAATAGAGGAGATAGAGAAAATATTGGAGAAAAAAGAAAATCAAATAGCAAAACTTACCGATTTTTAAAAGATAGATTATCACACAATCGTAGAGAAATACTGTAGAGGGTAGTTCGACTATTTAGAAAAAAAATATAGTATGCAAAAATTATTTTTTTGTGAGATATTTTGTAAATTTCTTTTTTGTTTGGATATATTCTGCCAACACCCCTTATTTTTTTTAGGGAAAAAACCGTAAAAATTCCTGAACTTGTATTTTGGAGTAATATTAATTCCTAAACTTGTAGAGGTGCCTAATAATTCCCAAACTTGCAAAATTGAACACGTTAAATCCTGAACTTGTTAAACGGTTCCATATTCGTCCATAGCGTTATTTGGTAAAAAAAACGAGTTGACCGATCCGACGTGGCGCGCCACGTCACACGCCACGTCGGATCGGTCTTCCAAGGAAGAAATCGAAGAGCTCATAAAGAACGGCGCTTTTGATCGAAGGTTTTTTTTTAAGCTCTTCCCGAATTCCCCTGTTTTCATTCTTGTTTCGTTTCAATTAATCTTAGATGTGGTTCAATTTGTTGACATTTATCCGTATTTTGCTGGCGACGATGCTAAGAGTAATGATGATGAAGAAGAAGAAGTATGTGTAGATGGCGAAGCTGAAAATTCCGGAGATGAAGTTGCTCAGGTGTTAGGGGGTAAATAACGTGGACCCACCAAACTTATATACTTAATTAAGACATGCATTTTTTAAAAATATTCTCCAAGTATAAACTAATAACATTGTCAAAAAAAAGTCTCTAACATTCAAATGAATATTTTTTCAACTTTTATTTTTTTTCTCTCAGTTTGTGAATGAAAATAAAATTATGAACTGTTCTTTTGAATAAATATTCATTTATCGTAGAAATTATATGAAATTTAATATGATTTTCAATCTCGTTAGGAAGAGTAGAAAGAAAAAAAATTATTTGAGTACAATTTAGCATTTTCCCCGCAGGCCCCCTCTGCCACAAATTATGACGTAGGCTCTCCCACTTGGGGAGACCTTAAGCTAAGCGCCCCTCCGAAGTGCAATGGAGGTCACTAGCCTAGGCCACGCGCCTTCTGGATCGCGCGTCGACCCCGTCCAGGTAAGTATGTTGCCCGTTCTCTCGAGCTCCCTTCTTATACACTGCTCTCCTTGTTTGCGTCCTTCCATTTTATCGATGTGGGATTTCTTTTACTATTAAAATTTGGGCCGTGGGCTTAGGATTAGCGAAGCCCAGATAGAGATGGTCTGGACCGGAGAAGGATTACAACTAAACATCGCTATTATTATTTAAATCTTTTGCACATTGTATTTTTTTCAAAACAAAATTCCTGAATTTGTTAAATGGTTCCATAATCGTCCATAACGTTATTTGGTTAAAAAATAAGTTGAACTAATCCGACGTGGCGCGTGACGTGGTGAGCCTACTCAGAAAATTACCGTCACGTCACGTGCCACGTCGGATCGGTCAACTCGTTTTTTTGACCAAATAATGCTATGGACGAATATGGAACCGTTTAACAAGTTCAGGATTTAACGTGTTAAATTTTGCAAGTTTGGGAATTAATAGGCACTTCTACAAGTTTAGGAATTAATATTACTCCAAAATACAAGTTTAGGAATTTTTAGGGTTTTTTTCCTTTTTTTTAGCATTGGGAATGATGAATCTGGTTTTGTAAATTGTTGCATAAGTAAACTCACTCACTCAGTATCTAATGTCTCGTTTTATGCGATACGTTTTTAGAAAATGGATGTTCTCTGAAAGAGAGGCGGACCCACTCAAATATGAGTAGGCCAATGCCACATACAAAATTTCATTTCAATTATAATTTTATAAAATTTTAATGAAAAATATAACTTGCCCCATCAAAATTTTTCATTGTTTGACCCCACTAATTATTTCCTCGACCCACCACTGCTCTGAAATCACGTTTCCATGCAAACATTTTTTTTTTAAAAAACTTCTATTGCGTTGCGAAATTCAGTGTTCGCACATGTAAGCGAACTTTGTATCTTACGTTGCGTGTCTAAAGACGAGTTGGGTCGGTTGTGTTACATGACGTTGGTAAAGTAATCTCTTATGAATTAAAACAGATAGAATACATAAAAAAAAATAGATATATAGAATAAAACAGAAAAGAGAATAAAATGACTGATTGAAATAAAATTAGGAAGTAAAAAACTACCAAGTATGAAAAAAAGAATCTAAATAGTAACAAGTTAATAACAATAACTACTACTAAAACAAAATGTAGTAGCTCCATCGGTGAAACAGAATGCAAAGCGTTTTTCCATTCCGAATTCGAGCACCAAGTTGGAAACAAGGGGAACGTAATTCCAATAACATAGATTGTTTCTGACCCCGAAATTAGTGTGGAACTCGATCCAGATACCCGATTACCCAAAAAAAAAATTACTACTAAAACAATAATGAAATTACCAAGTATGAAAACAAATCTAAACAGTAATAAGTTAATAATAATAACTACTACTAAAACAAAACATATTGGGTAGCTAAATCGGTGAAACGGAATGCAAAGCGTTTTTTCATCCCGAATTCGAGCATCAAGTTGGGAAGGGGAACGTAATTCCAATAACATAGATTGTTTCTGACCCCGGAATTAGTGTGGACCTCCGACCCAGATACTCGATTACCAAAAAAAATTACCACTAAAAAAAATTACCACTAAACAGTAATAAGTTAATAACAATAACTATTACTAAAACAAAACGTATTGGATAGTTCAATCGGTGAAACAGAATGCAAAACGTTTTTCCATCCCGAATTCGAGCATCAAGTTGGGAAGAGGAACGTAATTCCAATAACATAGATTGTTTCTGATCACGGAATTAGTGTGGACCTCGATCCACATACCCGATTATCAAAAAAAAAAATTACTACTAAAACAATAATGAAAATAAAAAATATAAAAAGCCACGTATATATGTTGACGGCCAAAATAAAAGAGAAAAGTATAAACTAATGGAACACGGGAAACTAAATGGGCCACGAATATAAAAATGTAGGCCCAATACCACGTAAAAAGGCCCAATAGGAAAGCAAAGCCAGTCAGCATGGCAGCTAAGTTTGACCGTGGGAGATGTTGCAACAGATCAGTTAATTTGGCATCTCCCCTTCAAGAAGTTGACGACACTGAAACTAGGACTGCAGTGTTCGCAAGACAGAGTTTGAATGCGAGCGACAACGCAAACTATTGATTTTAGCTTCGGATTTTGAACGATTTCGGCGTCGACTTTCCGCTGAGCAAAGCGACCCTCGCCCTGCCCTCGGATTGTCAAAACTCGCCTTCACCAGCTCACCTCATCTAGTCATTCCTCGACCTACCCGTGAACATCTGAACATTTGAAATATTCATACGCAATACCGAAACTCGGAGACCCATCAACAATTGTCTAGAAGTCTTGATTCCAAACCCTAAAACCCGAACTATTTGGATTCAAGATCAGATATACCAAAACTTTAAACATGAGACCTGTGTCTATTGAGGGGAGACCACCCAATCAATATCTCAGTCACCTCCCTGCCTATCCTGAAACTGTGACCATCTCCGATGAACGGCGCCGGAATGCCATAATCAATATTTTTTTATAACCAAATCCGAAAATAAGCCTCAAGAATTATAGCAAAGGTCTAATGCATAAGGTCTTATAGTAAAAATCTCAGTTCATAATCACACATGCAACCAATTAGAACCTACACACACAACACGACCTACAGATTGAACCTACGTTACCACAAAACTCGAAATGCCCAATGAATGACGATTAAGTAAACTGAACGATGAAGCGGTACCAATGTCATATAAATAGAGTATTGTATTAAACGAACAAAACTATCCGAGACAACTCTACTTCACTTTTTCGCCGTCAAACCATACGAGTTTCGGGACGAGCTTAAGAACAAACGACCTGAATTCTCGGCACGCGATAACGTTGCCAGCTACATCTAGTTGTTGCAAATTCATGACTCTCAATACGAAAAACGCGTCGGAGAATTTGGCGAGGAGGTCGCCTTCATCTTGGGTCCAGCATGGTTCGACCGAATGAGAGAGCGGAGAAGAAAATAGGTACCTTGTGGTATCGACGGAGTGCTCGCCGATAATGTTGTGAGATATGTCTAAAACTCTTAGTTGCTTCAGATGTCTGAGAGATTCCAACGCAGAGAAACTTCTGATTTTGTTGTGACTTAGATTTAAGCAAGAGAGAATCTGCATCGCCTCCAAACCTTAGGCATAGAAACACCAACAATAGGGGTTTGGGTCGAGAGCATTGATGAAATTTTGCGTAAAAACATTGGACCGACATTTCGAAAAACTTACCTTCGGTTGATCGGAGCTCGTTGTGACTAAGGTCTAGCATCTGAACAAACAGTAAATTCTCGATGGAGCCTAGCCGAGAGAGTGATAAGTTACTAAGCCGTAAACAGACGATCTTGTTTGATTCTTTGTAACGGAAGAGGTGTCTCGATAAGGATTCACTGTTTGAAGTCACCTGCATGGTCACCAATGTCACGAGTACCCGACAAAAAAAGACGAAAATTAAAAAAAAAACTAAAAAAAAAACAGTTAAAACTCTATTGTAAAATGGAAAAAGGAGAATCACCAATCTCAATTTGAACTCCACAAGCTTAAAGGAAGACTAATTACCTGTCGGAGGAAAGCTATGCTATGTTCATCCTTGTAGAATTGGTAATGCGATGAATCCGATTTCATCAAATCTTTATACAGCTGGAGAACTTCTTCGACATGGGCTACCTTGTCAGCATTGTTAGATAACATAGCTTCGTTAGCCATCAACAGCCTTGCAAGTGTAAGCTTTCCGATTTTGCTAAAAAGGGAAGAACAAAGGAAAACAAAGTGAGGGCTTGTGAAATTCTCTCTCTATATAGAATTTTAGTACTTAAACAGCTTCGGCATACCTGTCGGCAAGAGATAACAAGTCACGGAAACAGTCAATCTCCTTGACCATGGCTTGATGACGCCACTCAAACTCTTCTGGGTCATGATCCCTCAAAATGTTCGATTGAGACAAGGAGGCAAGGCCATTGAAATACTTAGATTGTGCATCCCAAGCATTAAAGTCATCCATCCAAGAAACTACGCCAACCCCTTCCGCAGGATCAGCTTTAGCAGGATGAACATGCACCGTAAAGACGATTTCATAACGAGCTTTGAAGCTACATCCTCTGGAAGAAACAATACCGGGAGAGCTCCCGATTCTAACCTTCACTTTATATTCACTGGAAGAGCGAGGCTCTGAAGTGCAATGATTCAGATGAGCTATCCATACATGGGAAACTTGAGAACTTGTAGCTGATAATGGAACCCATACAACATCCTCGTTTCCGCTTAGTTCAGATTCAATCGTGACGGTCGCTGAGTTTAGTCCACTAACTTCTTGATCAAAATAAAGAACTAGAAAAAATGATTCTGATTCAGAACAGAAGGGAGTGAACAGGGTAGAAGACCGATCCAAGCACCCAGCTCCAGATAGGGTGATATTTGAACCATGAGTAGGCCAAGAAGAAGCAAGAATAGGAGAACCAGCATTAATGGTTTGATCAACAAGCCAAAGATGATAGAACCAGCCACTTTGGTCATCTGGGTCTGTAAATATAGCTTGATGTACCAATTCGTATTCCTCAGGGATCTTTTCATTCGGCAGAAACCCTTCAACCTTTTTTGCAAGCAAACTTGAAAGAAGTACACTGTAGAATTTCATAATGAAAAGAAAGCCACCAATGAATAGATATGCTTATTCACCAAACAAGTAGGATAGACAGGGCAGAGGATGATTTTTTGTATTCCAGGGTGGTAACTAACAAATGTTCACTGGATTGTGGAACTACAATGAGCTGAAATCTTAACCATTTCCGATCTCTCGCAAAGATGAATTAGTAACATCAACCAAACCATAGACAAGGAAAAGCGAGGCATATAACCCCCAAAAGTGCTCTTCCTGGGTAACTTCATTATCATCTGTAGTTTATTCATAAACAGTACCCTCCTTAAAAGAAACGCATCTTCCGATATTTAGCCATGAATCTAAACCCCAAAACAGTGCATTCCTTTGTAAACCAGCAAATTCACCATATGCATTTGATTGCTCAACCGTAATAGGTACCTTACCTACGATTATGCCACGCAGAATAATTGCTGAAATTGTTATTGATCATATCCTCAGTATAATTCAACTCATCCTGCTCTGACCTGTTCATTAGTTCCACCACAAACCTGGAAGAGAGTAAAACATGTAAAATAACAAAGCGTGTTCCATATGAACATGCAACAAATGGGAAGGATGCCACAAAGTATGTTTTACCTGCGATAGTTCCAAGCATGAAAGTTCCGAGCATCCAGCCTCTGGAACTTATCCAAAAGCCGCAATTCATTCCCTATAGATGAATGCCCTTTACTCAGAACCCACTTCCGATGATGCCAAGCTCCGTAGGACTTAAAGTTTTGCCTCAATGCACTTTCTACCTGAAAGAAAAGGAATTACCAAATCATTCATGTGGAAATTTGGCATCAGTTTCCCGGAAGCACAAATTCATTCAGTTTTACAGTTGCAGGTTAAGAAACACAAGTTCAATCTCGCAAGAGCAGTTGCAGAATTCGATTAAAGACACATGACAAGTTGCCGTCTGAAAGTATCTATCGAAATATACCACTACGAACAAATGGATTCCAGATTCATCACATTTGACCCAACAATTAACCAATCTAAATCATTATTTTGGCTGAGAAAACTGACCACCCTAAGTTCTTCATCGAGAATTGACTTGACCATGCTAGGATCCGATTTGGATCGACAAATCTTGTCCTCCACAGCGAGCTTCCGATAGTTCCACGCCGTGTACGCCTCCGGATTGATCTCTAGAAGCTTCGCACTAAGCTCTATAGCTTCCTCGGTATAACTAGAAACCAAAAAAATTACAGAAGATCCATGAGGAACAAAAAACAACGAACGCTGAATCCTGAATTCAAGAATCAGTACGTCGGAGAAGAAAAAAACACTGTTGGAATCGCGACAAGAAATTGGAGAAGATTGGAGATCGTACAGTTTGTTGTGGTGATTAAGTATGAACCGAGACTGGAGTGACCGGAGCTTCTCGGCCTTAGCGGCGGAGGCCGCCGCATCCTCCGGTGTCGGAGCTTTCCGGGGGCAGCCGTGCCTTTCTCCTCCACCGTTGATCGGAGACGCAAGCGAGAGAGAGAGAGAGAGATGAAGAGAGATAAATCTGAGCCGTTAGATGAGGAGATTCTCCTCCACCGTTGATCGGAGACGCAAGCGAGAGAGAGAGAGAGAGATGAAGAGAGATAAATCTGAGCCGTTAGATGAGGAGATGATGAGTTAAAAGGGTTGATTTCTCTAAAATCAAGGGGGTGTCAATAGGTTATAGGGCAGCCTTCCGAACCCGGTACGAGGGTTTTGGATCTCGGTTTAGATCGATCTGATTTTTTCGAATCTATATATAATCAATCTCGAAGTTCATACCTATATATTTGGATTTATATTGGGACGGATCAAGTCAGACCGGTCCGTTCAAATTGTTTTGAAAAATTATATTTTTATTAATTTTTGATAAAAAAATATTGGTTTTTCGGGACTATCTAATTCGGATCTAAAATCCGATGTAAATTCGACCCGAACATTCGATTTTTTTAACCGAAAAATTTAGATCTAAATTCTACTATGTTTCGGGTTGGGACGGGTCAGATTTCGGGACTCACTCTAAACCCCTTAATAAGACTTTAATGGCGACACGTGATGACACGTCCTTAGCTAGCTTTGACAACGTTAACCGCGTTTATTGATTTAATTTTCTCGTCGATCCAACTATTATTATAGCTTTTTTTTTTCCCATTCTTTATATTATATGAGACAAACGTGTCTGTTCATTCATAATTCATTCATTTTATAAATTTAACGTACACTAGCACATGGCCTTAATATATATATATATATATTTTTGATGAGAATATATATATATATATATATATATATATATATTAAGGCTTGCAACCGTAAATCGCACCACTGCACCATTACGATAATGATATATTTCGAAAAATATCGTTTTAAGGTAAAATGGAATAAAATAACTTTTTTGCTATTTTATTGTTTTTTTGTTAAATGTAAATAAATACCAAAAGAATAAATGTTTTACAAGCCACAGATCAACATCCGGAAATTAAGCCACAGGAAACCATGTGTAAACAAAAAACGATGATACATCAAAAGTTTTCTACGTGATATGAAACAAATCTTCCAAAAGTGTCTTGAACTTTCTCGGCTTTTGTCGTTGTTTAACTAGGATAATGTTTCTGGCCATGTTGTCAAGATGGTGATACAGCACAGACGGGGGCTTTTTATTTCTCCGAAATATCTGCTCATTCCTCTGCTTCCAAATCAGATGGATACCTGCAGAATCACCTTTGCAATCAACGAATGGTGCCTATTTTCGTCATGTCGTGGTTGGTTAAACCAACTTGCACAATCAGCAAGGGACGTAGGGGGATTTCTCCAGCATTTTTCTGCATGTATAGACTAGACAGCCATGCTAAAAGGGCAAAGAAAAAACAAATGTTCATGGATTTCATCCTCATCCAGGTCACAAAGGGAACAACGAGTGTCTATAGTCAAACCCCAATGAGAGAGCCGATCCTTTGTAGGTAAGCGCTTCAGTAAGGCTTGCCATTGCACCATAGAGTAACAGGGGACAACTAGGGCAAACCAAACAAGAGGGTGCCAATCAACCAAAGGGGACGGGTTTCGAAGTAACCTCCAAGTCTTCGCAGACGAGAAAGAACTCCTGAAATCATCCTCACCATGTTTCCAAAGTCCCTAAACCCTAAACCCTAAACCCTAAACCCTAAACCTCCTGCTTCCACCGTAGGCGGGGAAATCCCGGTTAGTACATTGTGAAGCTCTTGTATACGGGCCGAATGTAACACCCCGAATTTCGTTAAAAGAATTAAAGAAACATAAATCGAAATTAACTACACTTGTTCAATGGGAATGAGAGGATTGAGCCTTAAGCCCTTAACTTTCGCTAATAGAACCAAACGAGGAAGAGGCCACGACACGAAGCCGCTCAGATGAATCAGTCTAGCAGGGAACGATCGCGCCGAAACGAAGAAGAGAAAAGGAGAAAATTGGCCAGACCGTCCGGTCTACATCCAGACCGTCCGGTCCAGAGGAGCTAGTCCGTCCGGTCCGCACTTCCAGACCGTCCGGTCTGACGAAGCGAGACCAATTCACGCGCCGCCTCTTCTTCTGTTGAGTCATCGCCGCAATTCCGAGGTTTCTCCGGCAAGTGACACCTCCTACTTGACCCAGGAGCGGCCCAACCTCCTCTGCACGAGCTTCACTCTCTCAGTCTGCTCACACTCAGTCCACAACTCGCTCTCACCCTCTCCCTTGTGTTCTTGCGAGCTCAGACCGAGAACCTCCAAATCGGAGCTCATTTCACGTGGAAATCGACGGGAAAATTCAGTAATCAACTCTAGGAAACTCCAGCAACAAACCCAAGGGCTCAAAATCAACCGAGGTGAGTATTTCGGATTAAATTTGAAAATGATAATCAAATTTAAAATGAAGATTTGTGTGCTTTGAATGTGATTCATGCATGTTTGAGCTTAGATTTGAGTTCCTGATTTTTTCTAGATCATTTTGAGCTATAGTTTGTTGAATTTAGTGCGAAAACAGGGAACCCGAGATTTCTCGGAGCACTAGACCCGACGGACCACTAGTGGACCGTCCGTTCTAGGGTTTGCAGGGTCTCGGGGAAGAACATGAAGTCTGGACCGTCCGGTCCAGGTGTGGACCGTCCGTTCCATAACCCTGGACCGTCCATTCCAGTTGCTTCCAGACCGAAGGGACTATGCGACGTGGACCGTCCGTTCCGGACTGGGCAGACCGTCCGTTCCAGGTCTCTGTTTCCTCGTTTTGGCTCGTATCATCGGATCGAACAAGATTCGATGCAACCGACCCTCATACCCCACCTACCTTGACCTGTTTCTTACCCGAACCTCACGAAACTTGAACGAAACCATTCTACGGTAAGTAAAATTCTCGGGACGACTGAATTGGTAATCCGGAATGGCCGGAACCCATTTTGATCGGATCGAAGGATAAAAAGAATAAAATGAACGTAATAGAATCGGTAAGCCATAATAACAAGTAAAGACGTGTGTATACATGACTAAAGTGTAGTCTTGTGTGAATGCTTGTGACTGGGAAATCGGGCAGTTAGCATGGCATGAGACTTTACCTCGGAGGGCCGGAGTAAAGCCGAACGTGTGTTTGTAGCCTGGGTTGAGGTGATATCCCGATGATTGCGTTGTTTGAGATCTCCTCTTTATGATTCCCGATCCGGGTCGAGTTTCATATTGAGGAGATATGATTGTGATTGGTCACCTACGGGCAGAGTTTGGAGCCGATGATACACGTGATAGTCTTGAGCGATTCGGCTATCCCGGGGTTGAGGAAATATTACGGTTACTCTGTGACCACGCCAACGTTCCACTAGCTATGGAGCGAGTTCAGAATTGAGTGATTGATGTGAACATTGCGGAACTAGTCACGAAACCCGACAACAATATATGAAACAAAGTAAGATCGACCAAGATAAAGGTTTTGGTGATGGATAGAAACCGATATTATAGGAAAAGTGAAATATTGACTCGCTATCTATAAAGAGAGATAGGAACCAGTATTATAAAGTAAAGGAATATTGACCCGCTATCTATAAAGAGATAGGAACCAATATTATAAAAGTTTAAGAACTACAAGCAAAGATTTGCAATTCTTAAAGCAAAGTTCAAAACGAACAAGTTGGAGAATAATCTCACAAGTTTCTTAATCTCAAAAATGTGTCCCTAAACCAAGCATAACAATAGGTTTATATAGGTAAAAGAAAACTTAGGAAATAAGAAAACAATAAAAGTGTCTTCCTTGAAATCAACCATGGTAGTTAAGTTGACTTCAAGTAACGAGACGCGTGATTTCGAGGCTTGTAAATGAAGTCAATCTTTTGTAATCACCAACATCATCCTCGACTCTCGTATGTTGACTCTCGAAATACGCTCTTTGCTTTGACTGATCGCCCATAAATTGTGCAATGTTTTCCCGAAGTTCTTGTCTCGTGCTCCCGAGATCGGCTCAATCGGAACGTAAAGCTCATCCTCGTGCTCGTTATCGGAATTTTTCCTTGAGCTCGTATCATCCTTCCCTTCTTAAAAAAGATTCGTCCTCGAATCTACATCAATATCAAAAGGAGAAAGATCAGAAACATTGAATGTTGAACTCACTTCATACTTACTTGGCAAGTCGAGCTTATATGCATTGTCATTAATTTTCTCCAAGACTTGAAATGGTCCATCCCCACGTGGACTCAGCTTCGACTTTCGTTGGGTTGGAAACCTCTCCTTTCGAAAATGAACCCAAACCCAATCTCCTGGTTCTAAGGTGACGTGTTTCCTCCCTTTATTGGCTCGATTTGTAGTTTGCTCGTTCTTTTGTAGAATGTGTTGCCTCACGTCTTCATGAATTTTTTTCACCAAATCTGCTTTACGCTTTCCATCAAGGCTTACAATCTCACCAATAGGTAATGGAACCAAGTCCAACGGGGTTAGTGGATTAAAGCCATAAACGACCTCAAATAGAGAAAACTTAGTAGAAGAATGCACAACTCTGTTATATGCAATTTCAATGATTGGAATGCAATCCTCCCAGGATTTCAAATTTTTCTTAAGGATTGCACGCGATAAGGTTCCCAAGGTTCGATTTACAACCTCTGTTTGTCCGTCAGTTTGTGGATGACAAGTAGTGGAAAATAATAATTTCGTTCCCAGCTTACCCCACAAAATACGCCAAAAGTGACTGAGGAACTTGACATCACGATCACTCACAATGGTCCTAGGAATGTCGTGCAAACGCACCACCTCTTTAAAGAAGAGGTTAGCCACATGAGTTGCATCATCCGTCTTTTTACAAGGAACAAAATGAGCCATTTTTGAAAATCGATCCACGACCACAAAGATTGAATCCTTACCGGTTCTAGTCCTAGGCAATCCCAACACAAAATCCATTGATACGTCAGTCCATGGATGACTAGGAACAGACAATGGCATGTAACGTCCATGTGATTGGATTTTAGATTTAGCTTTCTTACACGTCATGCATCGTGAACAAATTTTCTTGACATCACGTTTCATATGAGGCCAAAAGAAATGTTCTTTCAAAACATCTAATGTCTTGGCAACTCCAAAATGCCCCATCAACCCTCCCCCATGAGCTTCACCAACAAGCAACTCTCTTATGGAACTTTGTGAAATGCAAAGCTTATTTTCACAAAACAAAAAGCCATCATGTCGATAAAACTTTTCAAATGCTTTCTTTTCACATGCAACAAATATTTTGTCAAAGTCATGATCATGCAAGTATAACTCTTTCAAGAATTCAAAACCTAATAGTTTGGCATCAAGAGTTGAGATAAGAGTATACCTACGCGATAATGCGTCAGCTACAACATTTTCCTTGCCTTGCTTGTATTGGATCGCTAAGGAAACATCTCGATGAACTCGATCCAACGTGTATGTCTTCGATTCAGCTTGTTTTGTGTCTTTAAATGCTTCAGAGACTCATGATCGGTGTGGACTATGAATTCTTTAGACCACAAGTAGTGTTGCCATGTCTCAAAAGCTCTCACCAATGCATAGAGTTCTTTATCGTACGTGGAGTAATTCAAAGTTGCGCCGCTGAGTTTCTCGCTAAAGTAAGCAATAGGCTTTTTCTCCTGCATAAGAACTGCATCGATACCAATTCCAGAAGCATCACATTCGATTTCAAATGTTTTTTGAAAAATCCGGTAAAACCAATAAAGGAGTAGAACTTAGCTTTTCTTTCAGTGTGTTGAATGCTTCTCTTGCTCCTTTTCCTACTTAAATTCCACATCTTTCTTGATGATCTCAGTTAAAGGAGCAGCGATAGTACTAAAATTCCTCACAAATCGACGATAAAATCCTGCAAGTCCATGAAAACTACGAACCTCCGATACGGTTGTAGGTGTGGGCCAATCTCGGATGGCCTTTACCTTTTCACCGTCCACTTCTACTCCCTTAGGACTAACAACAAAACCAAGAAACACAACGCTATCCAAGAAAAAGTTGCACTTCTTAAGGTTAGCATATAATTTCTCTTGTCTCAGCACTTCAAGAACACATCTTAAGTGACTCAAATGATCATGCTCACTTCTGCTATAGATCAGAATGTCATCAAAGTATACAACAACAAATTTTCCAATAAAAGCACACAAGACATGGTTCATAAGGCGCATAAAAGTGCTAGGTGCATTCGATAAACCAAATGACATTACTAACCATTCATACAATCCACCTTTGGTTTTAAATGTCGTTTTCCATTTGTCACCTTCTTTCATGCGAATTTGATGGTACCCACTTTTCAAATCAATCTTAGAAAATATTGTGGAACCATGCAATTCATCAAGCATGTCATCTAAACGAGGAATAGGGTAACGATATTTTATCGTTATCTTATTCACAGCCCTACAATCAACACATAATCTCCAAGTACCATCTTTCTTAGGTACTAACAATACGGGCACATCACATGGACTCATACTTTCTCGAATATAACCTTTGTTCAGTAACTCACCGATTTACTTTTGCAACTCATTGAATTCTTTCGGATTGCTCCTATATGCTGGTCGATTCGGGATTGGTGCTCCTGGTATGAAATCAATCTGATGCTCAATCCCTCGTATTGGTAGTAATCCTGGTGGCATCTCTTCGGGAAACTTGTCATTAAATTCCTGTAAAAGAGAAATCACAACACTAGGCAAAGTCGAGTTAAAGTTAGAAAGATAGGCCTCTTTGTATAAGAACAATATCATTGGCCTTGGACTGAGCTCCTCTCTCACAAGAAAATTATTTTTCTTCCCCTCTTTTTTTTTTCTTTCGCTGAACTCTCATTCTTTTCTTTTTCTTGACTCACTTTTTCCTCATTCTTTTCTTTTTCTAGTCTCTCTTTTCTCTCATTCTCTTCTTTTTCTTGACCCTTTTTTTCCTCATTTTTTTTCATTTTTTTTTGAATTCTCCACACTCGACTTCTTAATTTGAAGCTGCTCATGGAACACTTGGTGGGGTGATAGGGGTGCAAGTATCACATTTCGATCATCCTTGATGAAGCTGTATCGGTTTAGGTATCCATCATGGATAGTCCTTTGATCAAATTGCCATGGCCTTCCCAACAACAAATGACTAGCATGCATAGGCACGACATCACACTTAACTTCATCAGAGTATCGACCAATAGAAAATGAGACTAATACCTGTCTGGTTACTTTCAAATCACCACTTTCATTCAATCACTGAAGTCGGTATGGCCTCGGATGCTTTTTGGTGCGTAAACCAAGCTTTTCCACCATCAAAGAACTAGCCACATTCACACAACTTCCTCCATCTATAATCAATCCACATACCCGATCTTTCACATGACATCGAGTATAAAAGATATTCTCCCTTTGTAGTTCATCCCCATCCTCCTTAGCTTGCACATGTAAAGCTCTCAAAACAATAAGGGCTTGCCCCGTGACAGCATGTTCTACCTCATCAACATCTTCGAGTGATGGCATGGAGTTGTTGTCTTCTTCTGCATCAGTTTCAATATCCCCATTCTCTAACATAATCATAGTTCTCTTGTTGGGACACTGAGAAGCAATATGACCTACTCCCAAACATCGATAACATTTAATTTCACGATTTCTTTGAGGTAAGAAAGATGAATTACCCTTCTCTGTCGAGTCAAACGATGAGTTGGTAGCGACTTTGTCTCCTCTTGCTTTAAAAGGTGATTTCTCATCGTGCTTTGACCCTGAATTCCATCTTGAACTAGTCCCCTCGAGTTTAGTATTCCACCTCGAACTCGAGCTAGTCCCTTCAAATCGTGAAGATGTTCGACCCTTTTGAGTTGTCTTTCTATTTTCATTGCCATATGCACCACTTCCTCGAGCTCTACGTAATGGTGTAACTCCACCACATTGCTAATCTCTCGATTAAGATCATTGACGAATCGAGCCATGGTTGCCTCTCGGTCCTCTTCGATGTTAGCACGGATCATAGCGATCTCCATCTCTTTATGATACTCCTCAACTGTCTTATTTCCCTGTTTAAGACTTTGCAACCGCAAGTGTAAATCCCGATAATAATGAGAAGGCACAAACCTTCTTCTCATGACAGCTTTCATTTCCTCTCAACTTCCAACTGGTTGCTCCCGATTTCGACGTCTACACAAGGTTAGTTGATCCCACCAAACAATAGCATAATCTGTAAATGCTACAGCAGCAAGTTTTACCTTCTTCTCTTCAGAATAGTTATGACAATCGAAGACTAACTCCACCCTTCTTTCCCACTCAATGTAGACATCAGGGTCATTTTTACCTTGGAAAGGCGGGATAGATAGTTTGATGGACCCCAAATTTCGATCTACACCGTTCCTCTCACGATGTTCTCTTCGGACTTATCATGGCACCTCATCCCTTCCTCCACGATTTTTCGGTATAGTGACCAAGGAAACCGCATCTCCATCATTATCATGAGACTCCTCATAATATTCCGCTGCAGGGTCTGGCAAAGGTGCACGTTGTCGTTGATTGTTTCTCCTCGATGGCAGATCACGAACTTGATGGAGTCGATCCATTCGATCTTCATTTATTTCGAGTCGATCTCGAAATTCATTGAGTACCACATTTAGTCGTTCGAAATTTTGCTGCATCGCTTGAATGATTTCGTTGTCAACTGCTCCTCTATCGTTTCGATTGCCACCTGCATTATCTTCTTGAGACATCATGCAAAAGAGCTCACTCACTCCCTCACGTGTTTTCCCTCGATCAATTAACACTCAATACTCGTGTTTCACTCAATATTGGCTTTTACCCTATGATATTCTCACCACTCTTGCCTTTTTCCTCTCGTAAAATTCTCCTCAAAGTTCGTGAAGAACTAAACAAAAAGAAATTGCAAAAGAGAAATTGCAAAAGACAATACTTGGAAGTCCCCAAACAATTATAATAAAAGTTTGGATCAATAGTGACAAGAAAGAGAAAGGAAAATAACAAAGAGTTTACGAAATGATGAATGTGGATGTGATGGGAAGAAATGACGAGTATAGATACGATAGAAACGTATGAAGGAACAAAGAATAAAGAAAAAAAAAAGGTGATGATTGTGTGAGTAAAACCATTGTGAGAGGAATAAAACTAAACAAGGAATAACAAAAATTCTGAAATGTCGAGTTTCTTTTTTTTTTTTAAATAAAACTTGTTCCTTTTCAATTTTTTTAAGCTTTTTTTTTCTCTTCCTTTTTTTTGTTTTTGTTTTGTTTTTTTTTTGCTTGCTTTTTTTTTGTTTGCTTTAAAAAAAAATTGCAGGAACTTTTTTTTTTAACAAATAGATGATTTGAATTTAGGAAAAAAAAATAAGTAGAAGTATAAAGATAGATAAAACCTCGATCTGGAACCTGTGCTTTGATACCAAATGATGTGAACCTCGCGGAACTAGTCACGAAACCCGACAACAATATATGAAACAAAGTAAGATCGACCAAGATAAAGGTTTTGGTGATGGATGGAATATCGATCCACTATCTATAAAGAGATAGAAACCGATATTATAGGAAAAATGAAATATTGACTCGCTATCTATAAAGAGAGATAGGAACCAATATTATAAAGTAAAGGAATATTGACCCACTATCTATAAAGAGATAGGAACCAATATTATAAAAGTTTAAGAACTACAAGCAAAGATTTGCAATTCTTAAAGCAAAGTTCAAAACGAACAAGTTGGAGAATAATCTCACAAGTTTCTTAATCTCAAAAATGTGTCCCTAAACCAAGCATAACAATAGGTTTATATAGGTAAAAGAAAACTTAAGAAATAAGAAAACAATAAAAGTGTCTTCCTTGAAATCAACCATGGTAGTTAAGTTGACTTCAAGTAACGAGACGCGTGATTTCGAGGCTTGTAAATGAAGTCAATCTTTTGTAATCACCAACATCATCCTCGACTCTCGTATGTTGACTCTCGAAATACGCTCTTTGCTTTGACTGATCGCCCATAAATTCTGCAATGTTTTCCCGAAGTTCTTGGCTCGTGCTCCCGAGATCGGTTCAATCGGAACGTAAAGCTCATCCTCGTGCTCGTTATCGGAATTTGTCCTTGAGCTCGTATCAGTGATTCTCCCGGCAGAGACTGACATACATTTACCCGTGACTCGGGATTGAGCGATTCTCCCGACGAGGTTATGCGGAAATACTCTGAAAGACCTGAGCTCGGGTCTGATGATTTCCATGGCGGATGGCCGGCAAGAGATTGTCAGTTGTTGACTGACTTCGCTCGACATAGTCGGTGGTGGTCTGGAGGAGGCAACTGGCGCTCTGGTATCGAGAGATGACATCGATATCAGAGGGGATGGTTGATGTGATACGTTTTTATGAAGTGTTGGGCACCGGGTTGTTGTATCTTTACTATTCCGGCATCGACCGAGGAGAGCGGGGGATTGTGCGTTGCACATGGAGAGTCTTACCTACGCGTGTGATGCATCCGTAGAGATGATTTGACAGTAAAGACCCGATGGGTCGAGCTATAACTTGTATACATGTCCTGGACTGGTGATACCAGATTCGTGTGTTATCCTATGTGTGTGATGCACATAGAGACGATTTGACGGTTATGTCCGATGACTTGTCATCCGGACTATTTGTGGTTGCTATATGATTCCTTGTTGGTTGAGTGGACTTTGTTTTATGGCATGTGGTGTGTATATATGTTATACACATATATATAGTGCGTGTATAATATTGTTTGTGCTTGGCCATTTGCAATTTGAGTATGATCTTCGGGTTTAACCCAAAGTACTCACTAAGCATATAGCTTAGGACGTTGTTATGCAACGTTTCAGCTCGAGATAGCGCAAAGAGAAGCGTTGGATGGACACAGCGGCGCCAAGAGTATGAAGAGGAACACCGAGAAGATTTAGGTTAGAGTTACGCAGATTCCTGTTTCAAAAAGATTGGTAGTGTCGGTTTAAGAGTTTTTGTATTTTCCGGTAGTTACACTACCGTATTTATATTTGTCTCCACTGCATACTTATATAAACTGAGAATTTTTAAATCCCGCATATTTTCGATAATTGTATTTACTTTATTGTTGTCCATGTGGCGCAACTCGTGATTTTCGCGGAACACGGGTTTCGGGTGTCACAGTTTATGGTATCAGAGCAGTTCTTTCCACGGGGAAGGAATTTGCGTAACAACTGGTATCAGAAAACTGTTTTCAAAGGTTTTTTTAAACTGTTTTCGAAATGTTTTCGAATTCTTCCATAGGAAATCGCGCATATGACAGCTTTTGGTAGTTGTCATTAAGTGGGTCACTAAGGACGCTAAGCCATCCACACTGACTCTACTTGTCATGTGATGCATTGTTAGGATTTCAAATATTCATGGAGTAAACTATATGAGCTATGGACTATACGAGGATAACCTTGTATAATAGTTCATTTGAGTAAGGACCCCTCTGTTCTGCATTCAATTCAGTATAGAGGATTCATCTTTTCCGAGTCTATACCACCTAATCCATACCAGTGAAATATTTAGTCTTCTTACCACTGGTATCGATGAGAATAAATCCTAGGAAGATTTTGAGAATGGATTGACTTCCAATCAATTGGAAGTTAGAAGATCTACATGTTTGGAAGTTGGAAACCTTATCAGAGTTAAGAGCGACTCTGAAAGAAATGTCATGCCTAGGATCAAGGGCATAAGAGGAGCTCTCGAAGGCATCGTGAGAAAGATGTTAGTCTATAATAATGACTTGGATATGCCCCTAGCGGAAAAGAACGTTACAAGGATGTTCAGTAAACATCACTTCACTTGAAGAGAGCCAAGAAGGAGTATACGCCTTCACTGGGATGAGAATCCTCGATCGAATGAGTTCGCCAACTCGGCAATCGACTTGATTATCCAGGAGTATGAAACCAGAGTTTGGAATTTAAGATTAGTAATGCACAAGGCACACTGAATCTCGACAAACAACGTAAGTTGCATAACTGGATCACTAGATCATACTTACCATGCGTTAGCATATAAAGGCGAATGCATGATTGATGCTGGACTGTATGAACTGATGGGATTCTTGGGATCTCTAGAGCGAATCCTATTCCTAAGAGATCGATTCTAGGGTTTGCGCAGCGGATATGAAACAAAAATTTGAATGAAACCCTAGAACCATGCTTCTATGAATCGTAGAAACGTTAGAACGCTTATCTCAATCGATCCGGGGCCTGTATCAATTGAAGAACTCGTCTGATCACGAAAGGGAGGAAGGATACCTCGCCCTCTACACGTATCCACACCTCAGGATGGATTCCAATGGTTGGAACTTGTCTGCTAGGACCCGAATCAGCTATTCGGTTTCGCGTTTCGAGAAAACGAGACTTGGAACTCTTAGAACTCTTTGGATCTCACTAAAAGCACTTAGAATTCTGTAACAGACGGCTCAAAAAATCTCTTAATTAATTAAGGTTTTTAATCTTCTTCTTATAAGGTGATTTAACCCTAATTCGGTCTAATTTTCGAAAAACCCGAAACCCGGAACGGACGGTCCAGAAAAGCACATGGACCGTCCGTTCCAGCATGTAGAACGGATGGTCTGCCTTAACGTGGACCGTCCATTCCACCACGTAGAACGGACGGTCTGCGTCTTAACGTGGACCGTACGTTCCAGTATCCAGAACGGACGGACCACGCGTCTGGACCGTCGGGTCTGGATCTGGCGGACCGTCCATTCTGGACTTTCTGGTCCGTCCGTTCCAGACCCTTCTGTCTCGGTTTTTCTGTCGTTTTCTCGTGCGTTTTGTCCTTCCCTGCGTGTGTGACCCTGTAGGCTCATTCGATATAGCAGTATAACCCGAAATCTCTATTTCGGATATACAAGTCATAGGCGGCCTCTAGCAAGACACTATGACTACCTATCTCGAATAGAGTTTGTTCGTGATCTTATGAATGTCAGTGATGATTCCGGCTGATGATCTTTTTGTATCGCGATATCATATGTCGAACATAAGGTATGGACAAGCCACCTTATCTAATTCGACTGCTTTCTCGTTCACTGAGTTCGACTATCTGAAATAGACGACGTTCGTCTATAGTGCGGCCACACATTTCTACAGTCTCGCTCACACGAGGGGCCCAGCGACATCTCTCTCTTTTACGAGAGGTACACATTCCGTCTTGACTATCTACAATCCAGACATGATTCATTTCGTACCTGATACATGCCTTTATAGTCCTCCTGTTACGCAGGGCATTTGACGTATTCAAAGCACACAACTCCTCATGTTGGATTCCGTAGATATCTCAGGTCTTAGGATCCAATCATGG